ATGTTTGTATTATTTATGTTTTTACTGATTTTACATTGTTTTGTTGTGAACCGCCCAGAGTTCCTCCTTGTGGGGGAGTTGGGTGGTGATATAAATTTGACATATAAATAAATAAATAAATAAATAAATAAATAAATAAATAAATAAAATGTTCTCTATCATTCCAATGTTCTAAATTGATTTCTCATCTTCAGCATCTCAGTAAACCACCACTGGCATCACCTAGGTGTATAAATGCTATTAATATTTTCTCCTAATTAATTCCATAGGGACACTCAAAATGAAAGGGGATATTTAAATATTTTGTTTCGGTGATATATAAGTAATCATGCACTTTGCATCCCAGAAACTCAGATTTGTTTATTCAACTTGCTGTCTACCATTTCCCAAGTAAATAAAAATATGGTCCAACCATAGTGGAAGGATAATGATACGACATCGATTTCTGTCCACTGCTACTTGGAGCAACTTGGATAAGACTCAAAACACACACCTACGCAGTAGCATTGTGATTAAGCCACTGTAGAAAGTACATGAAACTGGTTACTAATTAGTCTAGTCACTACTTTATATTTTTTGCAAAAACTGCTCCTTTTGTTACAACTCTTCTTCCTACCTACATTTCAGGCAGGTGGGAAAAGGGTCAATCCCGCAGAGGGCAGGCCTTGATCTTGAGCTTTGTAGGACACTTGGTATGTGTGTGGAAATTATGTGAATTCCTGGCAGTGTCTCCATCTAACATCCTTACCTGAAACCGCCAGTACAAAGACAGGAATAACCATTTGGTTCATCGAAGCACTTGGCATTGTTCTGGCATTGGTGGTCTAGGCAGTCATCATAGTCCACACTGCAATTATCTCCCACATAGCCAGGCATACATTCACACCTGAAGGCAGGAGCAGGAACGAGATCCAGTCACTGAGACGGACTGGCTAGCGCTCCAAAGAGCAGCAAGGCACACCAACCAGGAAATGGCTGGGGCCAGGGGTATGATTGTGTTTTTCCTAACTCCACTATACATTTTTATCTGGAACATGTTCATGTTCTCCACTTGAGGACTTTAAAGCTTTTTTTCTCCCAAAGCTCCACTCCTTCCCTCACTCACTTGGGTCCATCAAGGGAAACTCTGCAGATGGCCTTATGCTGGCAGGGGCTGAGCTCTGGGGAACAGACATCCACGGGCTGCTCACAGTAAGTCCCTGTGGGAGGAAGACAGAGAAAAGGCAGAAGCATGCCAAATAGGGTCTCTGCCTGAATCTGCCCCATTCTACCCCACAGAAATGATAAGCAGGAAGGAGGAAAGCCCATCTTTGACCTCTTTGCATTGCAGAATCAGTGGACAGAAACACATATTGCCAAAATGTTCAGCTTTTGGACCTATTAGATGGAAACGTCCACTCATTCAAAAGTTGAAATATCCCTAATCTCTTTTTATGCTGGTCAAGTCAGGTGCTTGACTTGCATTTTTTTCACTATTTTGTTCCAGGATAGCTATCCGCAATAAGTAAATTCTGTGACATTAAAATAAACAGATGAATTCTATTATTATTCACAGAACATTCAACTTCTTGTGGTCATGCAGAAAGACAAGGAGCTACTTATTACACAAGTCTTTTGACTACTAGACCAGAAAGCCTATTTACTCCTTTCCCTTCCTCTTCCAAGGGCCAAATTCAGCAAGATACTGGCCAACAGAAGATATCTTCAATGTCTATAGCAATTCTGAAGAAGCAACTTTCATTAGGGACACAAAAGAAGAATTAATCATTATGGGGAGAGTGGAGCAACTTATCTTTCCATGAGCTGCTTTTTGCACTTCAAAAAAAAAAGTTAAATGTTAAAAAGAAACATTTGACATAAAAAGATACATTTAACACCGAACATAAACCACACAATTTATAAAGTATCTCTACAACAAAGGGATGGATAATAAAATCATATTAGTAGTCTGCAGTGGTGCATGTAGCCTCCCCACCCCCAGCACCATGTAGGGTCACTTTAGATATCATGACTGACAGTTTTGTTCACTGCAGATACAAAAGCAGAAGCTCTGCACTCCCCCACCATAAGCAGTAGTTTACAATTGAGGTCATACCTGTATAGAAGGGTGGGCACAAACATGTGTAGTTGGTGGACCCATTAAAACATGTGCCTCCATTCTTGCAATTGCTGTTGCAACTACTGGTCTTCAGATTACATCTTGGACCTTCAAATCCATCTGCACAAGAACATCTGTTAAGAAAGAAAACAAGAGCTGTTTGACAGATTGAAAGTTTGGAAGCCATTCTCTTTGAGGCTTTTCTGGAATTTATATCCTTATCTAAGTCTTAAGGAAGGTGAAAAGTACCGATGATTTTTTTTTCCAGAAACTGGGTTCAATATCTCCATAACTCTCAGTGTTCCATCTTGTATCCTCTTGCACACCAACCATTTTTGTCTCCAATTGCAGGAGCTAGTTGGACCACTCTGGAAGTCCCTGAACTGAGAAGGAGCTAAAGTTGCTTTGATAAAAGTTCTGAGAAAGATGGAATGGAGTGTTAGTGAGGTCTTCAGTGTTAGCACCAAAAAGAAAAAAAGGGGCCTTTGCGAAGGGCAAGAGAAAGGCATATGTGAGAATCCTTTTGTATACCAAGTTTTGATCTGTATTTTTATTTCTCAGTGAACTCCCTTAAATCTATTCTGTTTAAGGGGATCTTGAAGATTATTATTTTAACTATTTTTTAAGTTTTCAAAACAATCTCTATAGCTGTGTTTGATGTCTACATGTCGTACATACAATCTTCATGAGGCAGTACTATTTGAACTGCATGTATAATATGGAGATTCATACAATACACTAATTTATATATGACATACCTGCAAACAGATGCACATTGACATGAAGTGAGAAGAATATTGAAGTTGTAGATGTATGAGTGTATGCTGTGAGTTGCATATGGTGGCATTTGCATTTCTATTGCTTGAACCTTATTTAGGTAGAGGAACAAGCAAAGACAGAAAAAGCTGGTGACCTTGCCTAACAAAGAGACCGAATTGCTCAGAGGGCTGTCAGCCCTGATGCCTTTGATCAGAAAATACATATTCCTCCTTGCTACCTGTCTACAAAGGGGTAATGCAGGGTGACATGTCCAGGGAAACATCCCTGTCAGCCCCCAAAGGACAGTATGTGCTGGCTTTAAAGATGCGATGTTGATATGGTGATATGATGAAAAGCCATTTAGCAGTCTGGAAATTGGATACACAAATAGGGCTGGGCCCATTTTTTCTCTACTGCCTGCAGTTTATTTTAAGCTACTAATTATGGTCTGTTTCCCAGAAAGCCACCCACACTGTATTCTGAGGAGTGGAGTGGGAAGATGTACATGGAGGTCCAGAGTATCAAAAGGCTGAAATAGTTGCTAATCCATTGGATGCATATATTTCAGTGGCTTTGCCTCCCAATTTCCAAGCCATATTTACAGAAAGAAGCTGCCTGCAGAATCAGCCCATGTACCAAAAACACCTCCTGTCTCCTAAGTAATGGAGTGCAATAGATATGATTAACATTGAATAATTACTCCCCAATACTTTTCAGTGACTGATTCTGGCTTAAAGGGAGAAAATGGAACTGGATTTATTTTAGCCTGACATCTGACAATTTGGTAGTAGATGACTGCCCTAGGTTCTTGGCAGACAATGCATTGCAGCTAACCAAGGTCTTTTTCCATCTTAGGCCTGAAACCCTTTCTGAAAACTGGAACTGCACTCACTTAAAGCTGGCTCCATCTCCTTCTTGAGGAAGACAGGTCCCACCATTCTCACAGGGCCTGCTGGAGCAACCATCAGCAGAGAATTCGCAGTTTTTCCCCTGGAATAAGGAAAAAAGAGGAAACAGTCATATTTTAAAGAATGGATAGCCAAGTTCTGGCCAAGATAAGTTTTGAAAACCAATTACTTGCTCACCAGCCATAAAAGTACAATGAAAGAACAACAACATGTTATATTTAAATTATCCTGAAGTTTTAAATTTTTTTGCTAACAGAAGTAGCTCCCCCACCTTTTTTTTAAACTCAGTTTCAAAGGAACAATTTGACTGTGTTCACATAACATATTCAATTTCACTGAACTGACCCATTTTCTGGGGTTGTACAATACTGAAGCATAAAGTAATCCAGTGCATTGCACATTCTAAGCCACAAAAAGGCAAACCAAGCTCAGCATTTTGTATGATTGCAGCTGTTACGTCTCTCATTAACCTGGTTAAATGTGTTGTGGGAACTTAGCCTGTATATTTCCATGTAGATGTAAGCCACCCAGAGCTACCCAGGTTAGCATTAAAGATACCTTTCTGAATCCACATAGTTCTCACTTCTTGAGTTTGCCAACTACCTAGGGCTTGACAAGATATGGCATTAAATAGAGAGCAACCCCCCTCCCTTTTTTCTTGGTGACTCACCCCTCTTGTCTTTGTGTTCTTCATTTCACTTCTTACCTTATAACCACTGGAACAGGCACAGTGGTAGGAGCCCAGAGGATCTTGCTGACAACTGCCCCTGTTTTGGCAAGGACTGGAGAGACAGGGGTTACATTTGGCCTGAATGATCAGTGGGGGAGGCCCTGCATAGATATGGAAATTGACATGGCATGAATAGGACTAAGGAAATATTGCTGAAATAACTGAAGATGAGTTCTTTGCATCTGACTACAAAGTGCTTCTTGAACAGAATCTCTTCCAAGGTATTTCTCTTTGAAGGCAACCTGTTTACTGATAGTAGAAATAATGGGTCTCTGACAAATTTATGGTGTTGTGTGTGTGTGTGTATGTATTTGTGTATATATGTGTGTGTGTGTGTGTGTGTGTGTGTGTGTGTGTATGAATGAATGAATGAATGAATGAATGAATGAATGAATGAATGAATGAATGGATAAATGCTGTGTTCCTGGGCATAATGTCGAATTGCCAGGCCAGACTGGAGTCCTGGTGTTCAAAACAATTTTCTGCAAAAGCAAACAGAGCTTTCCCTCCTTTATTCCTTTCACAGGAAATGAAATAACTTTTCAAGGAATTCTGCAGTTAACTGATCATTTACAAGGAGACAATGAAGAGGAAGGATGGGCAGAGAAGATCTCCCACTTACTACAAACACACATGGAAGTATTGTTTATCAGAAATTAAGGTGAATTTCCTTCCCCTGACATTCAAATTCCAAATTCCAACTTGGAATCCAAGTTGCAGAAGATCAGTTTGCCTTCATTTTGCCATGTTCTTTTATGAGTTGGAGTGAAACTGACACAGAGTGATCTTTTAGTACAATATTAATAATGCCTGATCTTGTTAATTGTTACTCCCTTCTCAAGGGTAGTCAGTGTTTTTCACTAGAAGAACATAACTTTACATGCAAAATGTCCCAAGTTCAATTCTAAACATTCCCACTTTTGAAAGGATCCAGAAACAAGTGATACGAAAGACTTTTGCCTAAAACCCAGAGAGTTACTGCCAATCAGAATACTTGGCTAGATGGACTTAAAGTTTCATTTACTTTTTAGTGGTTTGATACACAAGCCCTGCACAGAGTTGTCCCTTTTCCATATCAGAGGATTGGTGACAGACATAGAAGAAAGGGCTCTGACTCAAGGCCTGTTATCATGCTAATTAGGCATTCTGGAAATTATAATCTCATTACATCTGCAAGGCACTAGGCTGACATAGCTAATGTTATGCCTGTGTCCATCCTTCAGGCCTTTCATCAGAATTTGTCATTCATAATCTTCAGTGCCATGGACCATATTAGGGGTACTTTTATTGGCTTCACTGACCAGAATCAACTTCCCTCATTTCATCCTCCTCACATCTCTACACATGAACAAATCCCATGACTCCTTTTTGCATATACCCGATTATATTAACTTCAACAGTCTCAGATTTGTAACATTCATGCCAGCTCCTGACATGGGTTTTAGCACAGATGCCCTGGTCACAGGGAACTCATCTGGGCAGAACAAACTACAGTACACATAGCCAAGATATCTTTAGTTATGCAATGCTGTTCTTCAGAACTGATGTCTTTTCACTACTTTTAGAAAATATTCAGGGAGCCCTTCTATTTTCCTCGTTGGCTTCTGTAGCTTACCTTGGCATTCAAACTTCTTGGCTGGAGTGGTGAGTAAAAGTTTGCCTTCCATATCCGCAGGACCAGCACAACGAGCAATGCCAGGCTCTTTGTAGCCAGTTTTGACCCAGCCTGAGAGCCAGCGCATGTGGCAATCACAGTACAGGGGGTTGGCACCGATTGCTCTGTAGAGCAGGAAGAACCATAAAGTCTGTATAATTACTCAAAATACAAGATCCCTTCTTTTCATCTGGTCGCTCTGTGGAAATGCTTCTAGAGGCCCTAGAACTGATTAATAATCTGATTTCTACTTCTATCTGTTTTTAAAATGCAACATTGTGGCATTTTGGATAGTCTCTATTTTCATCATTTATTTTAAAGGGATGTGTCACACATGCAAGCTTATCATTTGATTTCCTAATACCTGATGCTAAATCTGCTAATTGCCTCAAGTAAAATGCAGTTTGCTCATATCACTCACTCATGCTCTGAGGTTGCAGACACTGTGCAATGACTGTAAACTGAGATAGTATGTAGGATTTCCTCTTCCCTTAAAGATAGTGCTCATAAATATGTCTAAAATAATTTAAAATTTATGTAAATTCTGAAGGCTGAGCCAGGAAAAAGAATCCCAGCCAATTACCAGAAAAAAAATTATGTCCTCAAGATTAAGATTATTTTCACTTGTATTCATGTTTGTAATTGGGACTGTTGTGGTGCTTTAAAGTTTTGAGGTATGTTCACCCAACACACGAAGTGATGGTTTACTGAATAAACACACTTGCTTGGCTTCACTCAATACACTAGGTTCTAATTTATAAATCACAACATGCTAAGCCATAGATGAACAGATCATGTTATGTTAATCCAGCCTTGGTCTAGAACAGTTTCTCCTTCATTCTTCTGAGTTGCAGCAGAAGATACAATGTGCACTCCAGTTTCTTTCCCCATGGAGGGTTCAAGACCTTGCTTTCCTTGTCAGTACACAATGGAGTATTACAAGTTAAGCTGCTATTTCATGATGGAAGATGCCAAAAGGAACTTCAACACATTTCAGCAAGCTACACTGGATCAGTTCCTACCACTACAGAACAATGAGAAAAATGCTACTTACAAAGCTTCTGGAACTACTTTGTCTAGGGCAGTTATTACCCAAGACATGTGCCTAGCACCTTCTCTGCACAGCTGAATAAACACAACTAAACAAATGGTGCTTTCTTTTTTATACCTCCAAGTAGCATCCTACAAAATGCTAGGAAACCTTATATGGAGTAAGAAGAACAAGTGCTTATACTAATGATACAGGTACTCACAGGTGAGATAGGGAGGTAACATCAGCAAAGATCCCTTCAGGGAGTGTAGAGATATCATTTCCATGGAGAGACCTGAATGCAAACACAGGCAATTGTTCTTTAGCTCAAATAAGTGCTCCAGTTATGAAGAGGAAGCAACAAAGCCCTAGCTTTTCATGATGCAATGCCCCATTGTTTACTATCTTTAGAAGGCTATGTTTGGGGCAACGGGTCTTAGTAAACCTGGTGGGATGTTAGGAATTCAGGATTTGGAATGTCATTAAGCCTATTCCCCCATCTCCCTCTTAAGCCAACCATTGGGCTACAGACTGGTATGCAGAAGAAGAAGGCAGATATTAGCTAGACCCACAGTTCCTAAACTGTCTGCCAGGATGCTCCAGGGCACCCCAGAGAACTCACAGGGGCACCATGGCACATTTCACTGCTTAATCAACACACAGTTTGGGAACTGAAAAAGTTTGGGAACCTCTGAGCTAGGCTAAGCAGATCACCCCTCCCCCAGGCACCTCTCCTGGGTCCCTTAAAGAAGCAATACAAGTGCCAGTACAGCCATAAAGATGCTTGGAAGACAAAAGAATGTTGATAACAAGGAGAAGGTATAGATGAAGGTGAGAGGACTATGGAAAGCAAGGACAAGGGAGATAACAGGAAGGAATAGAAACATCAGACAGTAACCGTTATTCTAACGCAGAGTTTTTGTATTCTCAATAAATCACTGTTTTTGTAGTTGCACCTTCATTACCTCACTACCTCTGACCTCATGAATTCATGTAAGTTCTAATTTACATAAACCTATATCAAGGGGTTTCATTCCCTGCCCATTAGACTAGTTAGTTCTGGTCCACAGTGGACTGTAATCTACTGCAGTTGGTGGTTGTATTGACGGGTGTTCTAGTATCAATTATTAAATGTACAATGAAGAAATTTCTCCTACAGTTTGGTGTCAGCAGTGGAATTAACAGAACACAGCATTCCTGTGGTAAGTATCAAAGCACCTCTCTACTGAAATATAAATTGCTCAGGATTGTGATTTTCTTCCCCTCTGTTCTTTGGTGGTGAGCCACATAGGCCTTGGAGGCATGTCTCCATTTATTTCATTCTTCATGTGTGCCTATGTTCTTCAAATGTTGGATCTAGGCTTTGGCCAGTGGTGGGTCAGGCTAGGGTGAGACTGAGAGTGGCTGCAAGCTTCTATCCATTGGTCAGTAGTGGGTCAACCTTAAAGCCTTGAGAAGGGATTTTTTCTTGGATGATTCAGGGTGCCTGTAACTCCCAAACCAATACGTACCTCTGCAAGTAACATGCCTATATTAGTTCCCCACAGATTTCCAGTTCTTACTTGAGGGAACCTTTGACCTTCAGTCTTGAACATCTACGTGTTTGCTTAGATGTGCATCCTAAGCAGTGAGAGTTGGAGCCTGTGGCAGGTGCAGGCAAAACAGATGCAGAGCAGAAGCAGAAGCAGCTTGTGGCTCTGCTTCCCTCTGCCGGTGTGAATGACCAGGCCCTGCCTCCCTGCAGCTCTGGCATGCCTTTTGTGTTCAAGCCCAGTCAGAGCTCCCAAAATTTATCCAAGTCTTTTAGTACTCCAGCCACCCTTGCGGGGGTGTGTGTGTGTCTCAAGACCTAGTGCTACCACCCTTGGCCCCCCCAAAGGCAGCCTTTCCCACCAGTGCCCTTGGCAAAGATGAAATCTGAAAATGACCAAATTGCACCTGCCAGCCTGGCCTCAGCTTCTTGCCCTGCCTTAAAAGGCAAAGGACTCATGAATAAGCATCAAACTCCATGTGGACCTTAAAGGCTGGTCATTTTACCATGCTTCACGTTTTTGAATCCTGTTGTGTTCTTGGATCTTGAAGTTCTGACTTAAGGTTTTGGTTTATTCCACAGCACTCTGAATGACTTTGCTGTGCCCACTGATGTGAATTTACTTTGAGTTTACTCTACCTGGCTTTTCATCTCCCCTACTGCTCATGATGTACAACCTTGCTCTCCTTTCCAGTAAGTCTGTGTGCCAATTTGAGTTCTTGTTTCCTCCCACCACACTCACCATCTTATCTGCAAATGCACCTTCCCCTCAACTATTTCCCTGCAATTGTTTACCCTGGCTCTTCTGAGTCAGAGCCTGGGGGAAAGGGGGCAGGATTGAGACACATGGCACCTAGCCTCAGGATGTGCCTCAATGCGGAGCTGAGACTCTCAAGCAAGTTTGTCTGTCCAGCCTTTTCCTTTAATCTGAAACAAGACTATTCCTTGAAAAAAGCATCCTTTCCCAGGCTCCCTTCCTTGGGGTGCCCCATTCAAACCTGAGGGTGGATGGGATCCCTATGCACTATTTCCTCTCTTCCCCCCACCCTTAAATTTTTTTTTTGGCTGCATTCTAAAGTCAAGTTTGGCTTTATCTAAAATACAGAGAATTATGTAGCTCAATGATTCTTTATAGCTGCAGTTATAGAAATTTTATGATAAAATGCTGTCAGGCAGAGTGATAATCACAAACACTCCTGTTTGTGCAGAGCGCAGCAAAAACTCC